CTCTTTGCTTCCCTGATAGCTCTTGTTGCCAAATCATTTGAATGTTGGATACATTCATACTCTGCCCTTTTAAAATAGGTTAAGAAGAATCAAATTATCTAAAGAGGTGTTAGCCAACAGATTAGGTACCAGCCACATGGATTACTGGAATTTTTGTATTATCAAAAACCCAATTAAAAATCTACTGAAAAATTCAGGATTTCCAGGGACATGTGAAGCACTCAATGATTCCTTGTGGCTAGGGGTCATCAGACTAGACAGTACAAAAGTGGAGCATGCCTGACAGGGCATAGAGTCTGCCAGACAGGTCCGGTCTAAAGATGTGGCAGATTGAGCCACCTCTTGGGAATGGCTGGGATTGAGCCCCACCTCTGCGCCTGTTCCAGCTTCCTCACAATAAACACCCTGGAAGCCAGCAAGTGATGGTTCAAGTACTTAGGTCCCTGCCGCCTGTGTACAAGACCAGGTAGAGTTCTCAGATCTTGGTTTCAACTCAGCTCAAATCCAGGTGTTGCTTCCCAATTACTTGTGTGTCTATCACTGTCTGTCTGTCTCTGTCTGTCTGTCTCTCTCTCTCTCACCACCCCTCCCTTCTTACTATTACCCTTAGGCCAATTCACTTTAGAGAGACAGAAGGCTCACTGAACTTACAGATTGGGGCTTTCCCAGTCCCACTGGAGAGGCATCCAATGAGTATAGTCCATGGCAATGGCAGAGCGGATGCAAAAAGAGGGCCACATGACTAATCGGGAAGCAATGAGAGTACCTGGGCCCATGTTCAGGCTTTCACAACAATCCTCCTGAAAATTTCATGTTCCCAATGATCTAATGACCTCCCATCACACTCACCACCTAAACAATATGATTGGATGAAGTTGCTGCCCACTGAGGTCCATTAGTTTATGACAAGGCATTTAAGCCCTGCACAAATTCCAGAACCAAATCTTATGTAAGCCACTGCACCATCCAACCCCTTGAAGCCTCAGCCTCACTGCTTTCAGACCCTGCCTAAATCCTGCAAACATTCCCAATGTGGCCTCATTCATGTTTGATTCATACAGCTAAATTTATAGAAATACAACAGAGGTGCTGGCACAACAGCTCACTTGGCTAATCCTTTACCTTCAACTTCCAGCTGCTCCAATTCCCATCTAGCTGCCTGCTTATGGCCTGGGAAAGCAGTACAGAATGGACGAGGTCCTTGGGACGTTGTACCAATATGAGAAATCTGAAAGAATCTCCTGGCTTCATATCAACTCAGCCATTTGGGACATGACTCAGTGGATGGATGGTCTTCTTCTGTGAATCTGCCTTTCCAATAAAAATAAGTCTAAAAAATGTTAAGGAATTCCATTAAAAATATAAAAGCACAGTAGAATGAAGGCTGACAGGAGTTTGGGCTGTAGGAAGACAGGGATAGAATTTCAGTTTTGCAAGATGAGAGATTGCCAGAACTTTCTCAACAATGTCCAATGTAATTAGCACTATTTAATTACGCACTTCGTTTGCTTGATTTTGTGTATTTTTAAACTAAGTTTTAAAAGCATAACAAAACTATTTGGGTTACACGTCTTTGTTGGTGTTGATACCATAATCTTTCTGTCTCTGAGCATCAAACACTGCATTGCATCCATGCTTTGGATACAGAATCACCAGGTAGCAGGCCTGGACAATTTCTATTTTCTTTGCCTGGGCATGTCCAAGCTCAAGGTTGACTCTGAGTCCAACTAGAGACAGCAAGGAGTGGGAACGGGGTATGGCTATGTCTTCTGTTTAAGATACAGCTCCACTCGCCTGCAATGCATGTTCAAGTGTCTGGTTGCAAGTCCCACATACACCTCTTTTCCAATTTCCTTCTGATGAACACCATGGGAGGCAGCAGACGATACCTCAAGTACTTTGGATCCTGGAACCCATATGGGAGACCCAGAAGAAGTTCCAGGATCCTTGTTCAATCTCAGTTGCTGTGGGTATTTGGGAAATGAACAATCAGCACAAAGATTTCTCTAAGCCTTTCAAATAAAATGATTTTTTTTTTATAAAAGTGGAATTAACCAAAAGTCAGTAGGATATTTCCCAATTGCCCCCAGTATCATCCTTGAACAAATAACTCAAAATCTGTTGTTTTTTTTTAGCTATGCATCTCCTATCTCACTGACAATTTATAATATGAAAACATTGGTTTTTCAGTTGTCAGTAGCTTCAAAAATTTTTAACTTATATGGAATGGGCCAGAGAATAAAATGTTAAAGGCAAGAATATAGAGGCTGGCAGGTATCATTTGAATCTGTAGGTCAGGAATTTCCAAGTGAAATCACTGCCATCATCAATGAACAACCTTCTGGGAACTGCCAAAGCAACTCCTAAGTGTTTGCAGTTTACATAATTAGACAATTTTGTTTTGTTCAACTTTGTTTTTCCACATGGTTCTGTTTTACTATATTTGTTCTGAAATTAGCATGAGCAGTGAAACCAAAGACATTTCTCGTCATTATTCTGAATTCTGGGAAATCTCCAGGACACTATTAACTTTTCACAGGGATCCCAAAGCGATGGAAAAAAAAAAACCACAGTGATCTGCAGCTCAGTGAGCACAAGACACAAAATTATTTCAAAAAAGAAATCAGTTTTTAAAAAATAAAGTAGGAAAGAGAATTTGGCAAACTCAGAACTCAATTCCTTTTAGAACTGCAAATAGAAGTATTGATTGTTGTTCCCTAAAAAAAGAAAAAAAAGGCAGCAAGAGGACCTTTCACCTTTGAGGGCACTGTGTAATATAAGTAAATTCACATATGCAGTTTGCATTGTAAGTTGCCAGAAACACTATTTAGCAAGTCAACAGAAAATAGCTTAACCCAATATATCCAAAATATTCTGATATCAGTATCAACATTCTGGCAGTAGTTTAAACACTAATAAAACGTTTATATATAAATATAAAATATTTATGTGTTTTTGTAAGTCTTTGGAATCTGGTTAGACTGACAACATATCTCCTTTCAGACAAGTGTTAATATATGACTGGAGCAGCAAACGTTTTGGAGAATGCAACCATGGAACTAAAGATTGGGTGTTGTTTTGTTCTGTTTTGAGATTTATTTATTTTTATTGAAAAGCCAGATACACAGGAAGAGGAGGAGAGACAGAGAGCAAGATCTTCTGTCCATTGATTCACTCCCAAGTGGTCTCAACAGCCAGGAGTTACGCCAATCTGAAGCCAGGAGCCTCCTCTAGATCTCCCATGAGGGTGCAGGATCCCAAAGCTTTGGGCTGTCCTTGACTGCCTTCCCAGGCCACAAGCAGGGAGCTGGATGGCCACCCATATGGGATCCCAGTGCATGCAAGGTGAGGGTTTTAGCTGCTAGGCTATTGCGCCAGGCCCAGATTGGGTGTTCTTGATGACATAGCACCTAGCTCTTAAATCTGAACACATCTCATAATTGCCTTCATTGAATTCCTCAAATGTTTGGGTGGATGCATTAGCTAACCAATCCTTCGGATATAGCAGTGTTAACTTCTCTGATTATGATACCATCATGTGAAGTCTTATCAAATCACTCTAGTACTATCTCTTCTAAAAACCAAACCAAAACAAAAACAAACAAGCAGGGCCTAGCACAGTGGCCTAGTGGCTAAAATCCTCACGTTGCACATACCATGATACTATATGGGTGCCAGTTTTAATCCCAGCAGCCCTACTTCCCATCCAGCTCCCTGCCTGTGGTCTGGGAAAGCAGTCAAGGATGGCACAAAGCCTTGGGACCCTGCACCGGCATTGGATACTCAGGAGAGGCTCCTGGCTCCTGGCTTTGGATCAGCTCAGCTCCGGCAGTTGTAGCCGCTTGGGGAGTGAATTATCAGACAGAAGATCTTCCTCTCTGTCTCTCCTCCTCTCTATATATCTGATTTCCCAATAAAAACAAAATAAAATTTTTAAAAAAGCATAAATTACTCTAACTTAATCCTAACTGGTATCTGAGACATCACAGGTTTGGAATTTTAATTATATTTTAAAATTCTAATATGTTCCAATATTTAACAGACTCCTATTGCTACCTAAAGCCAAAGGTGAAATTAGCTGAAATTTATGCTCATTAATGACTCATTAGGTATCATTTTCCAAAAATTTTCAAGTTGGCACATTCGTTCAAGAGAACCCTCTGAGCCTTAGAATTTGCCACAGCGAAAGAGCATTCATTCTCTCATGTGTGTTCCAGATGCTGCAGAGGTCAGATAAAGCTTCTGCCCTGATAAATACCAGGACATGCATACACTTTAACACTTACACAAGTTAACATCTATGTATTTAACTGGGATTCTATTTTCAGCTCTATGAGGGATGAATTGTTTCCTTGCTTTCTAGATGAGGAAATCAGACACAGAGCAATCAGAGAAGTAGCAAAATGTGGTCTTCAAAGGCAAGAACTGGACCCCTAGACCTGTGCTCTTATTACCTTGCGAGGTGTCAAATGGTACAAATGGACAGAAATGGGAAAAGCCATGTTTTATGGTGACAAATAAAAATCACTCGGAGTCAAAATCTTCACCCACTAGAGGAAACAACATTCTTTAACACAGAGATGGATGGCAGGGAAGTAGAATAACATAGGCTGCCATCTAATTGTCTTCTGGAAATTCCAGTAATGAAATCCTCACATGTAGAAGGAAAAACATGTCTAACAATCCAAGAGAATAGAGTCCAATGATGAAAATAGAAAGGGTGGGTGGTTAGATGGATAGATGAGAGGATGGGCCAATGAATGCATGCATGGGATAGACAGGCAGACAAATATCAACTGACATTCAGGAGCAGAAAGGATTCTGACCACCCCTGGAGGGTCCCTTCCTGTGGCTGACATCACTCCTGGTGCTCTCGGACCTGGGGACCTTGTTCTCAATACAGTACAACAGCTGCAGAGCCAGCTGTGCAGAAGGTCTAATCACAATGTCTCCATTCACCAGGGTTCTGTAGTCTGTAAAAAGCATCAGAATCCACTTACATGTACTCCCTATGGGCAGAGTGTACGGCAGCTGCATTGCTGTATCGCCACAGGACAATCGCTGATGACAGGACATCGAGGATGGCATCAAACTAGGAGAAGGAGACACAGCATTAGTGGATTTTTAGAGAGAAGTGGTCACAACTGTCAAGACACAGGATTACTGTGCTGTTACTGGGAACATTTGAATGAGTGAACCCTGAGCAAAGAGGTTCCCGTTGTTACAGCCCAGCCACTGGGGGCCTTCACAGCAAAGCCCGGGGGTGTGTGGAGCCTCTGTGCCCATGATGTGGTGTGGTGGTAGCACTACAGTCCCTGTCTTGTGGTAGGTGCTACTTCAGGGTCTCCAAGTCCCCAGCACTGGAGACATAAGGAAGATTGCGTTATTCTCCTAGCATGTGCAATTGTTATCCCCCGTGACAGGCAAGATAACTTCATTTTCCTGTATGTCCTAGGAAGTAGAAGATTCAGGATAGGGATTTTGTTTTGAGTTCTCCATGGGATTATAGTAATTAAGGGATGGAGAAAAGTGAGGATGAACCAGGGGTCCCAGGAAATCTGTCAAGACATTGACGTTGCACACAACATTCAATGCTTCTGTTTGAATGCGAGCCAAAGTGTGAGTGCAGAAGATGGGTGTGCCAGAAGGGCAGATGTTTGTGTGTTTCTGGGAATGTGCACTTTTTTATATAGTCTGCATCCTTCATAGAATTTTGTCTAGTAACTGCAATCCTCTCAAAACATGCAATCCCACAACACAGGACAGCAGCGGGCTTGAGAACAGGCACCCTTTTCCTGGCTATGGCCGCCCTACAAGTGCACAGAAGGAAGGCCAGAATATGTCTCTGCAGCACAACACAGTCTTCATCGGGAAATGACAAGCACCAGCTCTCTCTGAAAGAGGCTTGAGATGCACCACCCCGAGTGCATGGCCTATGAAACAGAGACCTGCTACCTGGGACCATCATTTCCAGAAGCAGCCTAGGAAGCTAGCTGACCTCTAGCCTGGCTACACACTGAATTCATCCCATTGCGGGCAGCTCTGCTATCAGTCCTAACACCTCTGCCTACAACAGCAAATGTCTCATTCTGGTGCGGGCCAGGCCTACACATAACCCAGATAGGAAAGAGGAGGGGGGAGGTCCAAAACGGAAGCATCTTCTCCATCCAGTCACACTGTGCAACATGTGGAACCCTCAAGTTATACTTGAGAAACATCGGCACTCCTCGCTATCTTATCAAGGCAGCCGTTTCCAAAAAAGCCATGTTCCTCATGCTAGCCCTTGACCCTAACCAGCCTCTGCTGAGGGTTCAGGGAGAGATCTGGGGACTTAGGCAACATGTGCAAGACTCGAGAGAAGTATATTTCAGGTTACTTACTGCAAACCCAAAAGCAGAGGCGCTGTACCTCATAACGGAGACAGCTAAAAGGAAAGAAAAGAGGATTCAGAATATTTTAAGACCTCAAGGACACTTTTTCTCATTTCTGAGTATTATTCACCCATCTGATATGGCCCCAAGAGAACACAAATAAAAATTCACTGCACTTGGAAAATTAAACCCATAAAGTGAAGAGCCATGGAAAAGCTTGGTTGCCTCACAAATATTTCACTGTCCCTCAGGCTCGGAAGGCCAGCTCCACGATGAAAATGCTGAAGGCATTGCCAGCCAAAAGTCTTCTGAGACCATGTGAAATCAGCAGCAGGCTAAACTCTCCAAGTGACATGCAGTCATCCAAATGGCTCCCACAATAGGACAGTGACTGCTGATGTCTTGTGCACCGTACTAATTGCTGGAAGAGGTTTTCATCCCACAGAGTTTTAAATCCAATATAGGTACCAATAGAGCTGTTCAGAGCAGTAATAACTTATCTTTAAAGGCCAGAGATCTAGAAATGTAGACATTATAATTGCAATTAAAATGCACTTTATTCACATTGAAAAATTGGAAAGGCAAATAACGTAGTAGCAATTTTGCCTAATTTCATTCTTTGCCCAAGCTAACATCCAGCTATAAAACTTGTCCTTGATTTGACGCAGTCAAAGCAGCTCTCAAAACAAAGGTGTATGTAACTAGCACAGGTCGCTGCGAGAACGCCACCCATGAGGCCCATAAGCTTTCAGATGGTTCCTTTCCAGGCCAGGCACTGCAGGTGCTCACAGCAGAGGGAGAAATGCATGGGTGGGAGACATGGAGGTCAGCACCCAGCTAGACTCCACTCAGCTCCCTACACAGTCCCCTTTTAAAGACCTGCTTGTCTTCCTATTCACAAGGAACAGAAACATGCCACCGGCAACCCCACCCAAAGGAGCGTGGGGACACACTGCAGAGGACACACTGCAGCTGTCCTCTGCTTTGATTTGCCTTAAAGACAGGGGAGCAGGAAGGCAAGGATGGGGCACCTGCAGAGCTAAAACCACCTGCTTCATAACACTTCCAAGCCCTTCCCAAGACTCAGCCATAACCCAGTCCTCCAGCTGTGTGAGGCTCCAAGCCACCAAATCCTTGGCAACTTTTCTGTTTTTGATGGGAGCTGCTCCTAGGGCCCCAGCTGTTACTGTAACCATCCACAGAGAAGGGTGGGGCCAGGTGTGCACCATGACAGACTGCAGCTTTCATGTGACACACAGAGGCAGTGTTGTCAAAAGGTATCAGACCCTCCCAAGAGCAGCAGCTCTCAGCTGCAGGGGCAGGTGCAAAAGAAGCAGCTGTTCCCTTGCAGGGCAGCCAGGAGTGCTGCGGATGCCCTACATGACCTTGGGCCTGGCTCATGATCAGTGCTCAGCCTCTATTAGCATGGTGCAGTAAGATGTCACAGAGAAAAATCAAAGGCATACTTGGTGAGTTATTTATATTTTCTTTTTACTGTTTTTAGAATACTTGGGCCATGTGCATCCTATGGACTGCTTCCTTATCAGCTAGAGTAACCTGTTAATTCCCTCTTGCATCTTGTGCAGACACCAATCTTTGCAATACAGAGGAGCAGAGCCTCTCTGGCTGGACTGCCAACTCCGGTTCTATCTGTGCCTCTGGCTTTGTACAAGGCACAGGTGGAAAAGTACTTGCATCTGTATGTGCAATCACTGAAAACCCCTGGCTTTACGTGCAGGAGGTCATTGTCCTATGACGTTTGTCCTTAGTGGGGAGTGGGCAGGCATTTGGCACAGCCATCAAGATGCCGTGATGCCTGCTTGTTTCACAGGAATACTTGGTTCAAGACCCAGGCTCTGTGCTTACATTCAGCTTCCTGCCAATGTTGAGTTCAGGAGACCACAGATGATGGCTCCAGTATATGGGTCCCTGTCACCTATGTGGGAGACCCAGATTGAGTTCCAGACTTCTGGCTCAGTCCTGCCTTTGCAGACATTTGAGGAGTGAACCAATACATGAGAAATCTTTTTAGCTCTTTCTCTCTCTATCCCTAACAAATAATATTTAAATATATTTTCTTTTAAATTTTTCCTCTGGTTTACTTGATGAGACCAAATATTCATACAGTAGTGCGGTTTCCTGGACTTAAGAGTCTAATGCCTGTGATTATGAATATTCTCAAATACTCAGGAAGGTTCTGCTTGTGTGAGTGAAGCATTCCCAGTGCATGGATAATCAATACTGCTTCATTCTTTGTGCTCCAAGGGAAGTGGGAGAGCCTAAGGCCACCAAGTCAGCCCCGAGCCCTTCACAGAGGCTTATCATTACTCCCATTTAATTTCCTTGACGATTTGGCAAGAAAGAGAAAGGCAACAAATTGCATTGGGGAGCAAGACTGCACTGAAGGGCTCTCTACTTGGCCATGCTCAGGCAGTCGTCCTCAGAAACCAACTGCCTGCATTCACCACAAATAGCAGCCAGCAGTCACTGGCGCAGGAAGCAAATGAAAGTGCTCCCAAGGCCTTTTAGGAATTTCTCAAGAGTTGCAGCTAATTACTTCATCTTCTTTAGTCCATAATTCACCAAGACATGACCAATTCCCGGACCGGAATGATCTCAATGGAAAAAATCAGGTAAGCTTAGGCAGTTGCTGCTGTCCTAGCAAGGCAGCAAGATGTAACAAACTGTGGGTTTCCACTGGCCCAGTTACAACTTTCCTCAGGCCAAGAACGAGCTACTGGACCAGAATGCCTACCCCCAGCAGAGATGACAGTGCTAGGTTTCCCCAGGAGCTTCATAAACACCTGAATGTAGGCAAAAGCCACCACAGGGCCAACAGAGCTCAACACTGACATCAAGGCAGATGCTAGATTCCACAGTGGATAACAGAGCCCTTTCAACCCAAGGCAAGAATGCTGCAAGAACCAGGAGACCAGGCAGCCTGGGAATGGGAGGGCTCCTGTACTGGCGGCTCTCAGACCAAGCAGAGGCCACAGAAGTGGGGGGCTGAAATCACTCTGGCCATGAGCCCATCAGTGTAGAGCCTCTTAGCAAGCCCTGTGGCTGCTCTGGAATGGAACACCTGCCCGCCAGCAGCCTTCAAGTTCATCTGGAGAGCACTTGATCAGAATCCCGTAGAGACACTCAAGAATTTTTCTGCTCCTAACATATTAGAGCCTGCTTTCATGGCTCATATCTTAATCATACACCCAGGGAGCTAGTGGCCAGTGATAGCCTATAATTGTGGGCCTCATGGTCTAGTAGAAGTCTCACCTGATTGTCCAGGAAACTGGGACCTGAGATTCTTGCTTCTTTCTCTCCCATACTAACAATGGAAATGTTGCCATCTGATTAGATTGTATCAAAATAATTCAAACTTTCTTAGTATGTAAATGGCCTTCTCTTTCTATATCTACTGGACTTTTTCTGTTTTCCCTAAGGCACAGAATCCTTCAAATGTTCATAGGAAACATGGAGAGCTGTCAGTCAAAGCCTGTCCAGCATCCATTCCCCACATGGCCAGAGCATCCTGACTCTTCCTGGGGAAGGAACGGTACTTGTCTAATCACAGGCAAGGTGTTGCGTGTGTGATGACATCACCCCTGCTCTATTTCAGCACCTCATCCTACACCCAAAGTGAAGGATTCAAAGATGGCACAACTCAATTAGAGCCAATGAGACCCTGCCACAAAAATGCTCCTAAAAATGTTAAGTTGCGGGCCCGGCGCGGTGGCGCAAGTGGTTAAGGTCCTCGCCTTGTGCGCCCAGGATCCCATATGGGCGCCGGTTCTATCCCGGCAGCCCCGCTTCCCTTCCAGCTCCCTGCTTGTGGCCCAGGAAAGCAGTTGAGGACGGCCCAAAGCTTTGGGACCCTGCACCCGCGTGGGAGACCCGGAAGAGGCTCCTGGCTTCGGATCGGCATAGCATCGGCCTTTGCACTCACTTGGGGAGTGAATCATCGGACGGAAGATCTTCCTCTCTGTATATCTGCCTTTCCAATAAAAAATAATAATAAAAATAAATCTTTAAAAAAATGTTAAGCTGCAGGTGTCTCCCTAGGAAGGGATTTTAGAGCTAGCAGGATGAGATTTTGACATAAGTTAACAGAGTATCTCAGAATGAAACACACAGCAAAGTAGAAAATGAAGATCTGAGAGATGTTCAGATTTGCTGATAATTTCAACTCATCCAGAAATCTACCCTCTCACTTCTCAAATACATCAATAATTTCTTTTGTCCACATTCCATTTCTCTTACCTGTGGCCAACTGAGCCTCAGTAGAACCTGATGCAGTAAGTCCCCTGCCCCAGATTTTCCCATAATATCTAAGAAATGGAAAAATGCTATACACCAAAACATCATTACAGTGTCATGGGATTTATAGGATCAAAAAATTGAATGCGCTTTGAATGTCCAATAGCTGGGTGATGATTCTAGTGAGGCCCCTTAAAGAACAGGCTGTGAGGTAGGCATTGTGGTGCAGAAGTGACCACTTGGGATGGCCACACATCATCATGGTGCTAGTTACTTCCTCAATCTCCTGCTAATGCACCCAGAAAGGCAACGGAACACAGCCAAAGTATTTAAATGGTGCCACTCATGTGGAAGACCAGGTGAAGTTCTGGACTGCCGGCTTTGTGTAGGCCCAGCCACAGATGTAACAGGCACTGGTTAGTGAACCAACATATGAAGAGTTTCTCCCTCTCTCTCTCTCTCACACACCCCCCTTCTGTTGAATATCCAAATAAGTGTTTTTACAGGGGCTACATGTAGTTATTGCCAATTTTACAAAAAATACTATCAATACTTATGTTACTATACTAGGTAAAATAATAACATTGATAAAAAGCAGTTAAGCGGCATGGCAGGTGTCACAGGCACCAAATGACATGGGAAGCGATAGATCTAGGCCAGGAGTTCAAGGCTAATGCAGGTGCAAGCTGAACGGTGAGGTCAAAAAAGGCTTCACCGAGGTGGCAGATCTGAAGAAGACAAAGCACAGGGCCATGTAGTCACTTGGAGAAGAACCTTACAAATAACAGGCAGCGTCAGT